GTAATGCCACGGCACTCTACCCAGGGGGACAGCTTGAGGCTCTGTCTCAAAAAAAAAAAAAAAGAAAGCTATCCAAGGATGTGTTACCACCAGGGGAAAGATCAAAACTAGGAGAAGCACCAGGACAATGGTGACAGGAGACCTCAGAATGACAACTGTGCAGCAAGGTCAGAGGGCAGCTGCGTATCAGAGCAGGTTAGAAGGCTCCAGGGGACATTTTCTTTTCTTTCTTTCTTTTTTTTTTTTAGAGACAGAGTCTCACTTTGTTGTCTTCACAGCCCACAGCAACCTCCAGCTCTTGGGCTTAGGTGATTCTCTTGCCTCAGCCTCCTGAGTAGCTGGGACTACAGGCGCCTGCCACGATGCCTGGCTATTTTTTTGGTTTTTGTTGCAGTTTGGCCCGGGCCAGATTCAAACCCTCAATATATGGGGCCAGTGCCCTACTCACTGAGCCACAAGCACCACCCCAGGGAACACTTTCTTAGGAAGATGAAATTGTGAGAGTAACAGATCTAACCAGATCTCTCGAGAGATTTATATAAGCAGCCAAGAGTTTAGGGTTAAATCACTGAAAGGAAAATAGGAAACTAAGCAAATGGTAAAACAGTTATTCACTCCAAAGGAAGAATGTTTTGAAGGAAAATAAAAGTAATCATAGTTAACCACATGTTTCAGTTGTGAATATATTAGTATAATTATGTAAACAGTAAATAAGGATTTTCATTGACCCAAATTATGATCTATCTACATTGGTAGGATGAGAAAAAAGGAAGGGTGAAAGTAGAGGAAGCCTGGCAAGGAGGAAAGAGAATTAAATATTCATCTAGACTATAGATAATGCCTACACCTGAAAATCAAGAAATAGCAACATAGTTTTAATGTAGAAACATGGAGGGGCGGGGCAAGGTGGCTCAGGCCTGTAATTCTAGCACTCTGGGAGGCCTAGGCAGGTGGATCACTTGAACTCATGAGTTTGAGACCAGCCTGAGCAAGAGTGAGATCCCCATCTCTACTAAAAATGAAAAACAGGCAAGAGGATCGCTGGAGCCCAAGAATTTGAGGTTGCTACAAGCTGTGACACCAGAGCACTCTACCAAGGGCAACAAAGTGAAACTCTGTCTCAAAAAAAAAAAAGAAACATCGAGGGAGGTAAATACCAAAAGAAACAGTTAAAATAGAGGTTCCTCTGGAGAAGCAGCAAGGAGGACAGGGAGGGCTGAGTGTCAAAACCGAAGGATCTGAGATTTTACCCTACTTACAAGCTAACCATCAGCATTCCAGTTTCACGGATGCTGGTAGAAGACACAAGATACGTGAGCAAAGATGTTTATTATGCACAGAAGTAGTAGTGGAGTATCATTTCCCGCCCCATCCCAATTTTTTTTTTTTTTTTTTGGAGACAGCGTCTCACTTTGTTACCCTTAACTGAGCGCCGCGGCATCATAGCTCACAGAAACCTCAAACTCTTGGGCTCAAATGATTCTCTTGCTTCAGCCTCCTAGATGGACGGGAATTCGGGCTCCTGCCTGGCTATTTTACAGATGAGGCCTCGCTCTGGCTCAGGCTGGTCTCGAGCTCCTGAGCTCAGGCGATCCACCGCCTCGGCTCCCAGAGTGCTGGGATTACAGGCACGAGCCACTTTGCTGGCCCTGAATCCTAATTCTTACAGGGAGGTGCAAAGAGGACCAGTTGGCCCACGTACACTCACTGGGTCGCATTATCCGAGAGGAAGCCTGAGATTCCCGAATTGGAGTTTTCATAGTGGACAGTAAGTGCGCCTGCCTTTTGCGCTGGAGGAAAATACTATTTCTTCCACGGCTCTGAGCCAACCAGCGCCCCGCTCACAGAAGATGCAGTATCGAGACTGATCCCTAACACTGCCGTTTTTCATAACCAACCTCCACTAAAGATTTTCTGCACATGTTAACTTTCCTAAAAATAAAAATCTAGTAATTAAATAGTTTTACTCAGTAAAACACTCGCCAAGCCCTAATGCCTTCTGACTAGGCATCTTTTCTTTGCCAGCGGAGACCCCAGAATCCAGAAAATCGGAAATAGTAACCCCAGCCTTCCCGAAACAGCGCCCGAGAAAGGGCAGCGCCAGACCCCTGAGGGCTGCGGCTGGGCCCGGCGTGGCCGGGGCAGGCTCCCCCAGGGCCCGGCCAGAGCCTCCGAGTCCCTCCGGGAAAGGCAGGGCGGGCTCTCGCTGCGGGTTGCAGCAGATGCAGAGCAAGCCACGGGCGTCAAGTGCCCGGGTCACCCCGTTGCGATGTGTGCTGATTACACTTAGCGGGGTGTGAGCGGAGCCCGGCCCACAAGAACTGAGCAACACGGACCCTGCCTGTCGCTCCCACCTCGCCGCCCCTCCGCGGCCTTCGCGGCTGAGGCTGGGCTGCGCCCTCGGCTCTCCCTCGCGCCCCGCCAGGCTCCGGCCGCGCGGGTCGCTTATCCAGCCATCTCCGGTTACATAAGGCCGCGCCCCTATCTCCGCAGGCCATCGCCCGCCCGCCCCTCTAGGGCGCCTGCTCCCACGCGCGGGGACGCGTCTGCCCACCGCTCCCGGCACGACTTTTGCTGGTCATGGGTTTGGGGGGTGTTGACTCATACGGGCGGGGTTCTGGGGCTTGCACAGCCGGAGGTGGTTTCCCCGCTTCTTCCCCCATCAAGGAGACCCTATGGGAGATGCCATTGGCTCTGGAGGAGACGGAGCCACGCAAAGGGGGCACAGTCAAGCAGAGGCACTAGTGGGGAAACGAGGGATGAAGGCTGGCTTCCGGGGGTCAGGGCCTGCAGTTGGGCTGGGCAGCAGGTGTGGACAAAGCCGGAGGCTTCCAGGGAGTGAGGGCTCTGGCATCCCTTGGAAGACCCTGGTGAGGGGGTCGAGCCCCATTAAGGGGAGTACTCAGAGGGCCTGAGTAGGCAGAGAGGGGGCCTGGACAGGGAGGAGCTGGCTTAGGGGAGGAAGTGGGTAAGGGAGAGATCTTGACATCAGCACCCAATAGGCAAATGCTGTGGCCTCTGCAGTAGGGGTTCTAGAAGATATCTAGGAAAATGAGGGAAAAGCAGGGAAAAGGCTATGAGCCAGCAATCCTGCAGATTGTGGGCTGCTCTCAGGGGCAGGAGTTACCCTCCACAACTCATTCCAGGGGCAAACCTGAGGTACCCAGAGGGCAAGGGTTGGTCCCACAGATACTGGTGGGCAAAGGTCGCTCCAAGTCCCAGTGACACTGGGAACAGTTATATTCTCCAACCTGGGTTAAGGCTGTTATCCTGGGCCATTTTAGGGTTTCTCAGCAGGATGACCCATGGCTGAAAGCCTGAGTGGGGAGTCCCATGTCAAAGCTACCCATACTCGCATTATCATCAAAACAATTTTAAAAATTAAGGGGTTCAGCCATGGTGGTATGTGCATATAGTCCAGCTACTCAGGA